TTATACCTCTCTTCCTTGCTTCCATAATTGAGATGGTAATATGTTTGAAATAATGGGGAAACATGTTTTTTTCTTTATATGAAAACTTTTTGCCTCTACCTTTGAGGTACATGGATTTTAACAGTATGATCTGAAATGGAATAATTTAGCCAGAGAGAAGAAACTAGTCAGAGATTAAAAGTTTCAATAATCACTTATTTAGGAATGTTTTGAGAGAAGTATTCAAAGTTTTGTGTAACTTCAATTTATGTCCCCAACAACTTCAGTAGTCCTGTGCCATTTCTTTGGGTTAGGCTTGTGTTAACTACTTATATTTTGTATAATTTCTAATTGAAGCTGGTATATCTTTTTCCCTGGCAAAGATATTGAGCTCTGTAATACACCAAAAGCAAACGTGTAGTGTGTTACGCAGTGTGACACTTGTAATAGGCATCTTTTTTTATTAAATAGAGCACAGTTGTAGATCAAAAATTTATTGCATGTAGCAGCTTTTTTTAAAAGAAAAAATTTCTTTTAAAGATTTTTATTTATTTTACACAGAGAGGGGGAGAGAGCACAAGCAGGTGGAGTTAGGGTGGAGAGGGAGAAGCAGGCCCCCTGCTCTCCCCCACAGGGAGCCTGATGCAGGGCTGGATTTTAGGACCCTGGGATCATGACCTGAGCCGAAGGCAGGTGCTTAATCGACTGAGCCACCTAGGCGCCCCTAGGAAAAGTTTAGAATGATAAGATTTTTGTGGTTCTCCTATTACTTTTTTTGTTTTTTGAAGGTTTCTCTTAGAATCAAATCACTGAAGGAAGCAGCATTGGTTTCATTTTTTTTCTGGTGGGGGTAGTGGGGGTAATTTGTCATCTTCCCAAAATTCAGTCACGTGTCCTTTTTACTTCCTTGTTGTAGATAATGCCTGCCTGTGTGAACATTTTTATTTCCTTAAGAGGTTCCTCAGAGGAGGCCCTTCCGTAGGCCACGGACCTTGGAGGATTTCAAGCTGTGGCCTGAGAGAGTTCCTGTGCTCTCTGGCCACATGGGCCACCTGGTCACCTGGCCCTGCTCTTTCTGTCTTCCCCTCCCCACGGACCTCAGCTCCCATCCCTGGCAGAGGGATGACAGCAGTGCACACCAGCCACTACCCCTCTTCTATTATTTGATACAGATTTATTTTCTTTGGCTTGTTTTCATTAGTAGAAACCCCCGATTTTGGGAGGGAGTGCCTTACTAAAATATACAATACCAAAGGATTTCTGCAGTTTGGCATAGCCATTTGGGAATGGCAAAGGTTGCACACCTCAAGGATATTTGCCTGTGCAGGTTTTCATTAGTGCTTGCTTTAAGGAAATTTTTAATGTAGTAATAGCACAATACTTTTGGCTTTGGGAAAATGCCATATCTCTCTCAAACATTTGTATTTTATTGGCTGATACAATACTCTTAAAAAGTACATTCAAGCAGTTTTCAGGGAAAAATGAATCAGATGAATACTAACCTTCAGCTGAAATTGTTCATGTGGGTTTTTTTTTCCATTTTGTCAGTATATAGAAAAATCTCTTTACAATTCTAAAGAATGTATTTTTTCTTTTTTATTCTGATTATTTTACATATTCATTTCTATTGATAACAGTCCACATCTCTCTCTATTTTTGTCTTTAGTCCACTTGTTACTTTATTTTCCCATTATTTGCTTTTTCTACTTTTTTTGCTATCATATGTAGTGCTGCTGGATAGATCTTTGAAGTTTGTACTTTTTGAGTTGAGATTATATCTTTAGGGTATGTACCCCAAACTGGAATCACTTTTTGGGTATGGTTTTAATGCAGTTGTGACACCCTGCTCTATAGTTTTGGAGACAAGATGTAGTTACAGTACCTGCCTATATCCTGTTTCTTAGATAACTGGCAGTAGGGTCACTTGTTTTTAAAATTTTGTGTGTGTGTGGTTTTTTTTTTTCTAATTTTACTTTTGTTATTAATGACATGCATGAAGTAATATGTTTTACCATTTATTCCCTTTTTTTTTAAAGATTTTATTTATTTATTTGTTAGCAAGAGAGTACAAGCAGAGGGAAGGGCACAGAGGTAGAGGAAGAAGCAGGCTCCCCACCGAGCAAGAAACCTGATGTGTGGGACTCGATCCCAGGACTCTGGGACCATGACCCAAGCTGAAGGCAGATGCTCAACTGACTGAGCCACCCAGGCGTCCCAGTATTTGTTCTTAATAGCAATTTATTTTTTATGTTTTTCTATATTATTAATGATTTATTATCCTCAGTAATAATCTTTGTTTTATCAGGATGAATTAGAGATTTGACCTGACATGGATTTTATATAGCTGACTTCTTTGCTCTCACTTTATTTCATTGTGTGAATTTCTTTTTTTTAATGTTAAAAAAAATATATCCATTTTGTTGTTTTACGTTAGCCATATATTAAAATAATTTATTTTGAAATATGTGAAATGAGATACATTTATAAAACCTTGTCAGGGAGGAGCGCCTGGGTGACTCAGTTGTTAAGCATCTGCCTTCGGCTCAGGTCATCCTGGGATCGAGCCCTGCATCGGGCTCCCTGCTCTGTGGGAGGCCTGCTTCTCCGTCTCCACTCCCCCTGCTTGTATTCCCTCTCTCACTGTGTCTCTCTCTGTCAAATAAATAAATAAAATCTTTAAAAAACAAGACAAAATCTTGTCAAGGAGAAATTTGCTTGCAAGAACTCATGTCTAAGTTGGCAATTCCGTTGGCAATTGTCTATTTTTTATAGCAGCAAATAAAAGGACAGCAAATAAAAACAAACACAAAAAACGAAAAAAAAAAAAAAAACCAAACAAAAAGAACTCATTTCTAGTTATTGGTTTTCTAAAGTATATATTTAAATGATAATCCAATTCTTATCCTTTGAAAAATTTTCCTGAGATTTATAACTGCTATACTATTTCACAGTAAACCTTGTGGGACATATAAATGTAATTTTCACTCAATATTGGAAGAAAAGTTTTTCCAGAAAATCATAGAACTATTTAAAAAACAAGAAAAATACAATTACTTTAAGTCTTAAACTTTGGTTAGCGTCATTCATATTTCTTCTAGCCTGTAAGCTTTTTGCCTCTAGTTAGTTCTCTGAATTCATTTAATTTGGCAACCTGTAGCTGAGCCTGAAGGTATTTAAAGCTGTTTTAGATAGACATCAGGGATTCTAAAGTTAGGTTAATGGGGAGTAGACTTTCTTCAGAGCTTCTGACTGAGTGAATTCCAGGAAAAGTTAATATCATTTGGAAACCACTTTCCTTTCTACCTGGGGAGAGTTTTCAATTGTGAGAGAAATCAGGGGATCTGAGAACTTAGATGGAGAAAATATCTAATTGAATGTTATCATTTCTTTGAATTATGAATGTAGGCAACAACTGTCACTAGTTCTTATTTTTTTCATACATTAATAACATATATTACTCTATCACAAATTTATCTTAGTATTTTTTTTATTGTTAATCACCATACATTACATCATTAGTTTTTGATGTAGTGTTCCATGATTCATTGTTTGCATATAACACCCAGTGCTCCATGCAGAACAGTGATGGGTATCTTAGTATTTTAATATCTATATTTCAATATAATTAGTTTTGTCATTATCCTATGTATTTTATGCATTTAAAAATATCCTAGGAGAGGTCTGTAGTTTCTACTAGATTGTAAAGGTTTCATGGCCCCCCTAAAATTTGAGAACCTCACCTTAAGGAGAATGGATTCTTTCACGTTTGATGAATACAGAATTGCCCCCCATTCATGGCGGTTTGCCAAACTCTCAGTGCTAGTCTGGGTTAGATAGTGTTAGAGATGAGCTGGCTAGGGTTGATTGCTAGGCTTTAGGAGGGGGCCTGGGTAAACTGTTTTCATTTCCATCATGGGCTGATGGGCAATTTATTGCCAGCGATAAGTGGGAAAATGTAATTTTTGTTCACTTAAAGACATATGCTAATTATTTTTCTATACAAGTTCATGATTGAACTATATTAGAAAATAAAAATGTGAAAAAAAATACCTGTAATGCTTTCTGTAAAGATCTTTGTGTATCTCCTTACAGATCTTTTTAATATGACACATATACCTGTATGTTATATGTGTGTGCATTTTATATATACTCATATATGTTAGACATAGAATGGAGGCAAAGATATATGTATAGAAATATACACACATGTGACTGTACATGTATATTTAGGTGTACTGTTTTAAAAAATGAGATTATGCTGTATAAGTTGCCCATTTTGTTCAGGTTTATTGAGGTATAATTTATGTAATGTAAAATTCACCTTTTTAGTGTGCAGTTCTGTGAGTTTTGACAAACACCTAGAGACATGTAGTCCCCAGTACAGTCAAGATACAGAACAGTTACTTCGCTCCGAAAACAACCTTGTGCCCCTTCTGTAGTTACTCTCTTTCTCTTGCAATCATTTATTTCTTTTTTGTTTCTTGTACAAAATGTCATGTAAGTGGCATTGTACAATCTGTAGTTTTACATTTACCTTCTTGCATTTAGCATAATTTTCCTTTAAGGTTTTTGGTTTTATTTTATTTTTTTATAAAGAATTTATTTATTTGAGAGAGAGAGAGAGTGTGTGCCCAGCGTGAGGAGAGGTGGAGGGACAGACAGACTCCAAACTGAGCGTGGAGCCTGATGCAGGGTCCGATCCCAGGACCCTGAGATCATGACCTGAGCCAAAGTCAGATGCTTAACTGACTGAGCTACCCAGGTGCCCCTGATATTTTTGGTTTTAGATTATGCTTCAAGAATCTTTTATCCTAACTGATGATAATAGTCATGTTTGTTGTTGTTTTTTCTAATCATTCTGTTGCTCCATTTTGAAATTTTAAGTCTTTAGTCGGTCTGGCACTTACTTTAGTATAAATTGTGAGGTAGAGAATTCAATTTTAAAAATTAACCAGTTCAGCAATATTTATTAAGATTGGGTTACTATATAAAACTCTTACTAAATATTGATTTCCTCACAGGTAACACAAGTAGCAAGACAACCGGGACCCCCGACCCCTTCCCCTTATTCAACACATGAAATAAATAAGGGGCATCCAAATCTTGCGGCAACGCCCCCGGGACATGCATCGTCCCCTGGACTCTCTCAAGTAAGAAAAACTTTACTTTTAAAGAAATTTCCATATAAAAGCAGTTTTTCTGGTTTTCTAAAGCAAACTTTGGAGCAGTAACATACAACATCACTTGAAGAATAGTCTTTACTTAATTAATTTATTTTGTATTTTTTTAGACACCTCATAATTGTGGTACTGACTTTTATACAATTGTATTTATGTAGTCATTCAAAATGAGCTGTCAGTGATGTTTCGTTTTCCTTTTTTATTGTTTAAGAAATCAGAGTGTGGTTATAAAGTCCATTTTAAGACCCCACAAAGCATTTGTGTGCTTTCTAGTGTGTAATCTGCTAGTCTTCCTTCTTCTCTCTTTTTGGTGGAGTGGTGGTGGTTATTTTTTCCTTAAAACGAAATGGGTGTTTTTACCTCTCAGAGCAATTGTAGTGGGCTTCTTTGTTTGTTGGTTTGGTTTTTGATTTCATAAATAGGTTATTGGACTTTCTTAGACTTAAACTTATGTTGGATTGTTAAAGAGTGTGTACTTCATAACGTATTTCCGATTAACAGGTGCAGGGGACATTGAAACACTGTTGTAAGAAGTCACTATGGGTCCCCTTCATTTTAGAGCCATTTCCCAAGATATTGATTAGCTTGTACCATTCCACCATTATATGCTTGTTTGGGCTTCGTTGTGGTTAAGAGCATTCTAGAATTATGAAGTCTCTTACTGGAATGTGGAGAGAGTCAAGCTCTTTGACCCATTCTGTTGGATACTGTCAGTGTTTATACGTAACAACTGCTCCTTTTAATAATGAAAATTTATTATTTTCAGTTGTTGCTTCCATATTTTAGGCCTATCATTTAGAACTTACATAATAAGAGAGATAAAATAGTACTTATTCAAAGTAATGCTAAAAGCTGGTGATTGTAAGTTACAGAGCTGATTAATGTTCGTTTAAAGGCTGGAGAACATTTGGAGAAGGAATGTACAACTTACCAAACCATGATTGATATTTTAAGAAATACATAATTTGCACTTAGTTTTATGCTTAAACTTGGTTTAAATCATTCCTATTTAATTTTGAGTTTTAAAACTAATATGTCAGAATGAACTCTTAATTGTTGAAAAGGAGGTTCTTGTGTTGGTTTTCATGGCACTGAGCAGAACCACCCTAGCTATTAATATTGTGTATTAGTCCAATTCTAATCAAGAGAGGAAAACTATGTAGTTATGTGAAAAGGGAAAATTTAATATAAAAGATTATTCAGGGGACACCCATCTGGCTCAATTGGTAGAGCATATGACTCTTGATCTGGGGGTTGTGGGTTTGAGCTCCATGTTGGGTGTAATTATTTTAAAAAAGAGATTATTCAGTATACCTGAGGATTGGAGTAATGAAGGATTGGCTTATTAAAGAAAGAGAACTCTAAAGAATATACAAATAGCAAATATAAGGAGCAGATGCTTATCCTGGGGCTGAGACAGAATACATATGAAAGAGCCTTCTTCTCCAGGACTGATATTGGAGAGTGCATGGGTGTGGCTCACCTAATCCTATAGAAGTCAGTGTAGTATTTTATCCCTGGAATATGGTAGAAATCCTTCCTCTGGAACTTGCTGGAAATGTAGTCTATTGAGTGTTGGGGAAAGCTGGATCGTCTAGTGCCAGTCGCCTTTAGCAAAGAGCTGCTGCAGCGTGCAGTGGCTAGAGGCTCCTTATATAGCATCTCTGTTTACCATAGATACTTTAGATAACCTTGAGTATGCCAGATTATAGGCCCCACATGGTAGAACAGCTTGCATCACAACCTAAACTTGCTGCAGGGTCTTCTTTTGTTCTGTTCTTCACTCGAAGCTGGAAACCCCCAAGGTGGCTTTGTAGGTAGGTCAAAGTGTGGCACACTTGAATGTGTAGTGTATGTTGTTTTTAAAATTCATAAAAAGCCTACTGAACCTTGTCTCTCCCCTCCGCCTTTTTTCTTTAATGGTAGTTAGTGTTAGGTAAGAGACTTCTCCCCCATCTTGGGCTGAGATCCAGACCGTGTTGAATAGGGCATGATGTGGCTTACTGAGGGGTAGAGAAGTTGTTGTGGTGACATTCCAGTGGAACTTACTAGAAATCCACTGTCTGCAACTTGCCAGAATTCTGCCCTCTGGGGTGGTGAGGGAAAGCTCTTTACGGGTAGGTTCTTAGAGGAGGTGTTTTGCTGCCTAAGAAGATACCGGGGGTAGCTGTTAACCGTTGGGTCCTGCTGGCTGCTGCACATTGCTGTAGCAGCCTCACACTGAGGATGTGCCCTCGGGCAGCTGAGCACTAGAGTAGCCAGATTCTGGAAAAGCTACCCATAGTGCAGGAGCTTGATGTGCAAGCCAAATAGGAACCAGGAGTCAAAAACCATCTCCTCCTGCACTATTTCTGTCATCGTGTCAGCTGAAATGGAAAAATATCTAAAATATTTAAAAATATTTAAATATTAAGAAGCCCAGATCAATTTTGACTGTACAGACAAACAGGATAAATTTTGAGCTTAAAAGGCAAGCAACTGATCGGTGACACACAAGGGGAATAACTTAATTTTCAGTTTCAAATTCTTATTATTTCAAGTTATGATTTGACCTAGGCAGTTGGCTCAAAGCACTTAAGTTTTCTGAAAGACCTTGCTGCTTAAAAATGCATAGTTTGTATTTAAAAAAGAAAGATCTCCCTGTGGTCTCAGTTGTTGAGCCCACAAATGCCTTTATGTATGCGATTTTATTAGTTGACTTTAGAAGTCAAGAGTACATTGATCTAGGAGAAGGGTCACCATGTATTATCTATCTTGCTTTTCTTTGTGGTCTCTTTTGCTACCATATTGCCTATTTGATGAAGGAACCCAGTAAATCACACGTGGTCACAATCCCCTTTTTCCCTTCCCTTTCAAACAGGCTGACTTCATTTGTTCCCTAACAATGTCTTAATCTCTGTTGATAGAGTGAGGAATTTTTTCTGAGTGGCATGCTTGGAAAATTGAGGAGTTTTGTGGGAAACTCAGTCTCTTTAGATTTAACAGGTGACATATTCGTGGATCATAATGGAAAGCAGAGCCTTCAAATGGAGGAAAAAGGATTACAGGCTTGGATTCAAACAAGCCTAGCTTGTGGGGCTCAGTCTTTCACTTTCTGGTTACATGATGTTGTGTAAATTATTTAATATTTCTAGGATATGGTTTCATCATCTGCTATATAGGTAAGAATTAGGATTTGACCACCCTTCAATAAGGTTATTATGAAGATTATATAAAATCCTGCCTTAGAATAGGATATGCTAAATACTCTCAGTAAGTGACATTTACTATTTTCATGCCTGTCAGACTTGGTTCTCCTCAGGATTTATACGTGTGTGTGTTGTGTGTGTGCATGCATGTGTGTGTATGTGTGTCTGACTCATCTAATTTAGCTACATGACTGGTATTACTGTGAAATTCAGAAGCTCTCTCCAAGAGTTTAAGATCTCTTCCAAGTCTTTGCTTTATCCTTTGCAGGATAAAAGAAGAGGCCAACCCTTGGTTATTTTCTTTTAGTAGTTAGTGTGGTTTAGTCTTACGCACAAATCGACTGAAGATAAGAATAAAGACACTCTTTCAGCCACATGCCCTTTTTTGATGAGTCTCACCTGCTTCTGTGAATCAAGTCTTTTTGTCCCAAGTAGCTACCTGCGTCTGTGACTTAATGTTTGACACTAAATGAATCTATTAGGATTTTAGTGAAAGCAGCTAAGTTGAAGAAAAGTGAATTTCATAGCTTTGAAACATGAAAGAAGGAAAATGTAGAAAATTGCTCCCAGTCTCTTTCTTATTTTTTTTTATAAGATGTTATTTATTCACTTGAGAAAGAGAGCAAGCCAGCATGAGTTGGGGGGAGAGGGAGAAGCAGACTTCCTGCTGAGCAGGGAGCCTGATGCAGGGCTCCATCCCATGACCCAGAGATCATGACCTGAGCCAAAGGCAGACACTTAACCATCTGAGCCACCCAGGCCCCACTCCCCCGTCTATTTTCTTAAATCGTCAGTGGCAACCTCTTCATCTGCTTCTTTCCCTTCCAGATAGGATCTTTTTTTTTTTTTTTTAAGATTTTATTTATTTATTTGACAGAGAGAGACACAGCGAGAGAGGGAACACAAGCAGGGGGAGTGGGAGAGGGAGAAGCAGGCTTCCTGTGGAGCAGGCAGCCCGATGCGGGGCTCGATCCCAGGACCCTGGGATCATGACCTGAGCCGAAGGCAGACGCTTAACGACTGAGCCACCCAGGCGCCCCTCAAGATAGGATTTTACATATGTGTGTGCACATGCCAAATTTTAAGGCTTTATTGCATTTTCATTGTTACATGACTTCTAAATCTTTCCAGTCCTCTCCCCTGTGGAGGTTTTTTGGGTTGTGGTGGTTTTTTTTGTTTTGTTTTGTTTTGTTTTTGAGAGTGGGGGTGGGGAGGACAGAGGGAGAGGGAGAGAGAGAATCTTAAGCAGGCTATCTCATGACCCTGAGATCATGACCTGAGCTGAAATCAAGAGTAAGAGGCTTAACCAACTGAACCACCCAGGGACCCCCTCTGTATCAAAGTGAAAAACTTTGGACTATTAGTCTATAAGAGATTAATAGTTAAAAGGATATTTTCAAACTACAGTAAATTTGAGAGAGACAAGAGTCTTTTTAGGTGTGCATTCTTTTCATTTACCCTGAAATGGCAGCACTTTAACAATCTCTAAACCCAAAATGCCCTTACTTGGGAAATGGTGAAGAATTTGAAATTTAAAAGTATCTTTTGGGACAGATTTCAAAGTAAATAGAAAAATGCACTCTCCCAGGAGTCAGGAGACCTGAATTAAGAGTCTCAGCCCTGCCAGTATTATTTCAAATTTTGACTCAGTGGAAGTTCTTATTAATGCGCAGTTTTTCTCTTTGCAAACAAGAGGCTTGTATTAAATGAGATCAGAATTCCCTTTAAGATCTTCATTTTTTAAAATTTTTTAAAGATTTTTATTTATTTATTTGACAGAGC